AGGAATGAATTGTTTCAGGTGGATTGATTTGTGAAGTCTCCCCGATTCACTGTGAGTCTTCCAGGATCTCTGGGGATTCTCCTTACCCTGAAAGTGATTTCCCTCTTCCTGACTGTGTCAGTTTGAGTCCTCCAAGAAGCAGACAGTCAGCAGGAATGAGGTGGGAAAAAGGTTCATTGAGGGAGATGGTTGTGGAGGATAAAGGGGGATGCAGCTGGAATAGGTGGGCACAGGGCCAAATTACTCATGAGGTACAGGAGGCACAGTGCTAGGAGCACTGGCCCTTTTAGGGTCCAGAAAATGTTTTAATTTATTTTCAAATCAGAAGGAAAAATGAGTAATGGTATTGTTATTGTGTGCTGTGGAGTCAATTTTTGACACATGCCAACCCCATGTGAGAGAGTAGAAACCCCATAGGATTTCTAGAATACCTTAATAATAATAATTAATATATAATAATGGATTCCACCTGAAATATATTGTCTTTATATCAATGTAGTCATAAAATATAATTTTTAGTCTGTGTTTATGGAGGAGATGCCTATGACAGCAAAAGAGCCCAAGGCCCGTGAAAGTCATAATGAGGCCCTGGGTAGGGAGAGCCTTCTACACAGAATGCAAGTCTGCCACCTGTGAAGGAAGATAGGCCAGGCTGGTGGGGAGTTGCTGAGGAGCCCAATGACAGGCAGAATGGCCCTGATCTAGTAGCCCTCCTATGCTTGGTCCCTGGCCAGGAGCTGCCTGCAGTAGCATGGCCTTGGAATGGGCATGATTGTAGATCCAAAGGTGAGGTAGCCATGGTCCTCTTGAGGGTCTGAGCAGCCCACCCCCATGGCCCCATAGTAAGGTCTTGAGAATAGAAAATAAAGTCTTATAACTCTCCTCTACCCAGCACCCTCTGTGGAATATCTTACAGCTGGATTCTGTTTCATTGGTAAGACTTAAATTCGTCATCTTGACTTTGATACTGATTTGAGTTCTCAATGAACAGAGGAGTGTTATAGAGGCTAACTGATCACATGAGTTTTCCGTTCCTTGTGGAGTCGGAGCAAGCCTTTTGTATGTGGCCAAGCCAAGGGCAATCTTTGGAGAATACTGGTTAGCCACATTGTTTGAAAACAAAAGTTCCGGAACTGCCCTGGAAGTTCTTTTTCTAATCCAAGGGATTACTAGATGTTGTAGTTGAGGCCGGCTGGCCACTTGGAGTGCCTTAGTGGGCACTCGAGCTTGAAATAGAGAGGAATTTCTTTGATTCTGTCAAGTCAGATTGTCATTCTGATCCTTCCTTTAAAATCCCTTCCCAGAAGTTGCAAAGTGTGATTCCATCAGCTGTATCTTTTGCAGATATGTTTAATTCAGTGCACATAAAGTTTAAAAAATTATGGCCAGGAGGCAGGAAGGAAGGAGCATCATTTAAAAATGGATGGATTTTGCATAAAATCTGGATTTGGAGCTTCTTTGGGAAGAATGGGCAGCGCTGGGTTGGATGTCACCAGCTGTGAGCGGAGGCTGTCAGCTCAATGGTTGGCAGAAGAACATAGACCCAGCCAAGGGGCCATGGCACTTTACCACCAGCTGATTATTGCTGCATGAAAATGTAAGCTCACTGCTATCAGATTCTCTGCTTTTTCAAGAGAAGCTTGATTCCTGTTTCTCATTGTTGGTGAAATATGATTTCAAATGATAGTAACTGGTTTATCACTCTCTGTTTTCTCCCTGAGAGCTCTGGTGGCATAGTGCCTAAGGTATTTGACTGCTAACCAGAAGTCTGGTGGGTGAAACCCACCAGCTACTCCTCAGAAGGAAGAATGGGTAATCTACTTCCGTAGAGATACAGCCTCAGAAACCCAAGGGGGGGTCACTATGAGTTGGAATCGACTTGACAGCAGTGAGTTTGGTTTGGGGTTGGTTTATTATCTCCCTGCCCTAAATCACCTCACTCATATCCTCAACTTGGCCGGCTCCTCTAAGCATCTGAATCGGTGATCTGTTTATTCACAGTTGTGTAGAGTTGCTTGGTGGTACAAATAGTTAACAAGCTTGGCTGCTAACCAAAAGGTTAGAGGTTCGTGTCCATCCAGAGATGCCTTGGAAGAAAGGGCTGGTGATCTACTTCCTAAAAATCGGCCATTGAAAACTATGTGGAGGGCAGTTCTACTCAGACACACGTGGGGTCTCCATGAGTTAGAGTCAACTTGATGACAACTGGTCCTGATGTTTATTCACAGATACATGACTTGGTGAGATGGTAAGAATAGTGATACCCAAACAAGAGAGAACATTCAGAGGGTTGGACAATACTCTATGAGGAGAAAGTGAGCTTTGATCTGTTCATCTTTCCCTCTGCCAGTGTGAGGGCCATGCTGAGATCTTATTCATGCTTTGAATAACCATTTGTTGAAGGCCTACCATATACCAGGCAGTGAGCTAGGCTTAAAGTAAATGTTTAGTGTATGAATGAACGTAGTCTTCCTAATATCATACTGCTCTTTTGCTGAGGAGAAATAAATGGTTATTAACCAGGCCCCATGTACAGGCACACTTGAGAGATACTGCAGGTTCAGGTCAAGACCACCACAATAAAGCAAATATCACAATGAAGTGAATCACACGAATTTTTTGGTTTCTCAGTGCATATTTAAGTTATATTTACACTATACCATAGTTTATTAAAACACCTCTGGTGGTGCTGTGGTTAAAGTATTGGGCTGGTTGTTGCTTTGAATCCACCAGCCACTCTGTAGGAGAAAGATGAGGCAGTCTGCTTCCAAAAAGATACATAACCTTGGAAACCTTATAGGGTTGCTATGAACTGGAATTGACTCAAGAGCAGGGAGTTTTGGTTTTATAGTCTATTAAGTGTGCAATAGCATGCTTAAGTTTGAAATACTGTGAGAATTACCGAAACATGACACAGAGACATGAAGTGAACACATGCTATTGGAAAAATGACACTGATATACTTGCTTGATGCAGGGTTGACACAAACCTTCAATTCCTTAAAAAAAAAAAAAAATAGTATCTGCAAAGTACAATAAAGTGAAGCACAATGAAACAAGATATGCCTGTAATAAAAACAAAGATACCAAACCCTTCATTGTTCTGACCTTGTAAATAGCAAGTCCATTCTATTGAAGCTACATTGTACAGCACCTCTCTGTCATTGCAACTGAAATAAATTGACACAAAATTGCTAATAGTAAGAGGTATCATGTGTATAAAACAAACTATGAGACAAGTATGGTACTACATTCATCAATGGCATTACTTCATTTCATAATCTGTATAATTATATTAGGCAATTGTAACAGGCCATGCACAAGCTAAACATACATAATCTCATTTAATACTCTTATCAACTCTATGAGGAAACTCTTTGATTCTCTTTCTAGAGATTAGGAAATTGAGGCCAAGTTGTTCAGGGGAACAGAGCTAATAAAAGTTGCAGCAGCATTCAGACTCTTCAATGCCAAAGCCCAGGCTCTCCTGCTTTTGTCACATGGTTTCCCCAGGCCACCAAAACGCCACCAAGGCCTTGTCAAGAGTGGTATCACAGGGTCAACCTTCCAAAATCTTCACCTCATATGCAACGTTAACTGACCTATATGTTCTACTAACAAGGTACCAATTTCCAATTAGTTTGAATTCAGAATCTTCTAGTTTCACTCAAAAAACATACTGGGGTAACACTATTTTAATTGTAAAAGAAGTTACAGAAAAGTCCTTTGCCCTTTTAAGGACAGGTGGTATGCTGTTAGAAGTCTTATCATTCAAAGACCCAAACCAAAATCAAATCCACAGCCACCCAGTTGATTCTGATTCATAGTGACACTACAGGACAGAGTAGAACTGCCTTATAGGCTTTACAAGGCCATCAGTCTTTACAAAATCGGACTGCCTTATCTTTTCCTTATGGAGTGGCTGGTGGGTTCAAACCACCAACCTTTTGGTTAACAGCTGAATGTCTTAACCACTGTACCACCAGAGCTCCTGTCACTCAGAGAAGGCTGGGATAATGTTCTGCTTCTTTACATGGTTGGATTTGTGAAAATTTGTCAAACTCTTTACATACAATAGATTTTCCCCTTTATGTGTATATATTTTACTAAAATTAAAATTTAGAAAAAAGTAGTTATTATCCTGTATTTAGCATGGCACAATGAATCCCCATGTTCCCATCACCCACCTTCAACATATATCAACTCATGGTGAAATGTTCCAGTAGTGCCTGACACCCTCTAACTTCAGAAGAAGAATCACCATCAGCCCCAAGCTGATTTCATTGAAGTAGTGGCCAGATATATCTCTACTCTCCAGCCTTTTTACCAATTCTGACATCAGCCATCCACCCAACAGCACTCCTTACTTCTCTCTGCTGGGTTTGATAATTCGTTGTAATGACCACATAGAACTCACAGACCGTACTTACAGTTAGGTGATTTATTAGGGAAGTAACAGGGTACAACTTGGGATCAGGATCAATAAGCTACGACTCAGGATCAGCAAGCATGTAGGCAAGGTTTGAAAAGCTCCCTGAAAGTGGAGAGCGCATCCCTCCCTTCTTCAGTGCAGGCCAGCCTGCTTGGCTCCTCTCAGTCTTGCAAGCAAGCAAGCCCTTCCGTCTACCATGCATACCCTTTCTTGGGCATGCTGACCTCCTCTCAGCCCCTAGGACAGACCTTCTCTTGGCCCACTCAGGATAGGCTCTTGGTCCTGAAGCCCCTTCTCAGCCCTGTAGGCCTCTGCCTTTAGCCTCCTGGCTGGCCTCTCCACTGCTAATTGATCCAGCTTCTAGCCAGTGCAGCAACTGTGTTCTTCTCTCTCTCAGGTGCATTCCTAGCAGCAGGTTTCTTTTGTCCCCACCAACACTCTGCCTCAAGACCTCTTCCAGGCCCCTAGCTGTCTGTGCTATTATAGCCCTTGAAGTAAATGAAGACATGTCATTTTCTCTGAAAATACCCTGGTGTGTCTTATGCTGTTTCTCTGTGTAATTCTTTCAGGTCACTACATGTACGTGGACTCAGTTTACGTCAAGCACTTCCAGGAAGTGGCTCAGCTCATCTCCCCGATGACCACAGCCCCCATGTCTGGCTGCTTGTCATTTTATTACCAACTCCAGCAGGGAAATGATAATATCTTTTCCGTTTATACACGGGATACGACTGGCCTTTATGAGGAGATCTGGAAAATGAACAATCCAGGGAACGCGGCCTGGAACCTCGCAGAGGTCGAGTTCAGTGCGCCTTATCCCATGGAGGTAGGTGAGCCAGGTGTGCCCAGCCCTGACTGCCCTCAGGCATGGAGATCAAGGGATTCTATACAAATTCCACACTCCTTATTTTCTACGGTGTCTCAATCTTAACCTTTCTTTTCCCTTCCTTGGCCTCCTCCACTTTCCTTCTTCCTTTGAATATTCTTTTCTCCTTTTATCTTTTGGGGGGCTCTGGTGCTACTGTGGTTAAAATATTGGGCTGCTGTCCAAAAGGTTGGTGGTTCAAACCTGCCAGTTGCTCCATAGGAGAAAGATGAGGCAGTGTGCTTCTGTAAAGATTTACAGTCTTGGAAACCCTATGGGGGCAGTTCTACTCTGTCCTATAGGGTGGCTATGAGGTAGAATTGACTCAGTGGCAGTGGGTTTTGGTTGTTTCTCTTTTATTACCTCATTTTCTAGCAGGAGAGGCTTTTAATCAGGATAAATGTAGAAATGTTAGTTAGGCAACTAGACGTCTTGGGCACATTCTCCGTCTAAACCTTGTACTAAGATCTTGGGCAGTTGTAAAGAGGAGACCAGAGCCTTCTCAGGAAAACTGATTCTTGAACCTTCCATTCCTTGAAAGGAGTTTTGAAGCTTCTCTTACTTGAAAGAATTGTCTTTCTAGAAAAAAAAAAAGTTACTTATTTCCTTATGTTCCCCTTTACAGTATAAATTTTACCACAAAATCAGAAATAAACTTACTATTGTGACTTTAATTTGAACCAAAGCTTGACACTTTAGGTTTTAAATTTTGAATTGTTAGACAAGTGATAAATACAAATGCAGAAAATTAAAAAATTCAGGGAAGCAAAGCAAACTAAAACACTCTCAGCCAACCTTGTAGAATGAGGACAATGAACATTTTTGTGTTTATCCTTGCAGACTTTTTAAATTTTTGAATCTTTAATAGTTTTCTGTTTTAAATTTTAATTATTTTGTTGTTGAGAATATATCCAGCAAAACATGCAATAATCCAGCAGTTTCTACATGTACAATTCACTGACAACGATTATGATTTTCAAGCTGTGCAACCATTTTCATCCTCCTTCTCTGAGTTGTTCCTTCTCTAGTAACATAAACTCATTGCCACTTGTTCCTGTCTAATTTTTTGAGTTGTCATCTTGCAGACTTTTTTATAAGCACATAGAATGATACATATCTGTATCTACATGTGTATTCCAGTATTTACAACAGGAGTCCCCTGAGAGGTGCAAACCATTAACATGCTTAGGTCCTAACCAAAGTGTTGGAGCTTTGAGTTCACCCAGAGATGCCTTGGAAGAAAGCCATGTCCATCTGCATCAGAAAAGTCAACCACTGAAAACTCCATTGAGCACAGTTCTACTCTGACACACATGGGGTCACCATGAGACGGAATCAACTTGGCAGCAACTGGGTTTTACTTACGGCAACCCAATGAAGTAGATAAAGTCAATCCCACATTATAAACAGGAAAAAAGAAAACAGAGTCCAAGAAGTTTAACATTTTTTCTAGGTCACGCAGCTGCTGAGTGCCAGAGCACTTAGAAAAGTTCTGGAGCAATCTGACCGATTGCTGATGGAGGAGGCTCAGCTGTGTCTGAGGACCCCAGAGGACCTCTTGAATCAGTGGGTGCAACATTGTTGTTGCAAATTTGTAGCCATAAGTAGAGTCTTAGTCACCACGATTTATTAACGTCGCTCACTTTTCACTTTGTGAATTTTGCAATACCGTCCCCAGTTCTCTTTAAAATGCAAAAGAAGCAGATTATTACTGTTTTCTGGTGGTGCCATCTGCTCTCCTGATGTGGGGCTGTGAACAACATTAGGAGTTGGGTCTTGGTTTCTGACATACTCTGTCTACTGGTTGTGTGCCTGTAGCTGCCCTGACCCCCTTCATATCTGCCCCCCTCCCAAGAGCTTCAGAGACAGCACAGTGCCTTTTGCAGAATGTGTATTATTAGTTCATATCCCAAAGTGTCACTGGAACTCACTTTGCTCTTGCAAAGTGGAAAATTTTCTGGAAGTCTTTGTTACAGGGAGGAAAAGAAATGCACACACTGCTTCAGGGATTTTTCCTTGTATTACATGCACATTGTGACAGCATGTTCTTTGCAAACTCCTTTCATCCAACTATAAACTCCTCTATAACATTTGTATGAGTGAGACTTTGCTGATTTTCTTAAAGCAATACTTGAAAAGTTGCAATTATGAGCACTATTAAACCTCAGTATATATCCTTTTGGTTTACACCTGTGCACTTTTGCTCCAGTAGTCTTAATCCATTGCCTGGCAATGTTTGCTCTCTCCAATTGCCAGGAAAAGAATCTTGTTCTACAGGAGTCAGTGAATTTAATGTCGTCACATTCTCAAATGAATTTTTTAAATAAGAGAAAAATATTTAAGACTCTCTTTCTGAACAAGGGAGGACACATTGCCACATAAGCAATGATTAGCATATTTTGATCAGAAAAATTATTCTGATTCCACCTGCTAAGTAAGATCAAGTCTGTCATTCATTTTCTTTATCAGCTGGTGCCTTGAGAACTAAATGTCATGGATCTGTGTTCATTTGTCAACTTAGCTTCTCCCTTCTCATATGTCCACACCTGTTCCCTTCATTCAAGTCCTTTCCTCTTTGCCAGAAGCAAGCTGGGAAGGACTTTCCTTGGATCTTGGAGAGTCAAGTTGAGGGTCCTGTGGGCCACTGTTGTTCATCTGAAAGTGACCTTAAGAATCATCTTGTCCAAACTCTATTTTTTTTTTCTCCAAAAATTAAGGCACTGAGGCCTGGCAAGAAGTGGGGTGGGGTGCTCAAGCTAATTAGTGACTAACTTTGGATGCAAACCTGAATATGAATTCAAGAGGTCAGACTGGAGGAATAGACACTAGTTTAGTTCAGAGTTTATTATGCACCTAATCCTGTGCTGAAGTCCCTGGGTGGTACAAATGGTTAACACACTCAGCTGCCAACTGAAAGGTTGGAGGTTCAAGTCTACCCAGAGGTGCCTTGGAAGAAAGGCCTGGTGATCTACTTCTGAAAAATCAGCCATTAAAAACCCTAAGGGAGTACAGTTCTGCTCTGACACACATGACTTCACCATGAGTAGGAGTTGAATTGCTGGCAACTGGTCACTGGTTAATCCTCTGCTAATATCTTTATATACATTATTTTGTTTAATCTCCTCAACAGTCCTATAAGATAGGTGTTGTTACTATGTCTATTTTACAGTTAAGAAAATCCATACTTCAAAAGGCTTAGCCTTTTACCCAAGGTCACCTAGCTAGTAAGTGACAGAAATGGAATTTGAACTCTGGTCTGTCTGCTTCCAAGATACTGTTCTCTTAACCCTGTGGGTCAAATCTAGCTCACACTGATTTGTCTGGTTGCCATAGTGAGTTTTTCACTTTAATTTAGTTTTTGAATTGCCAACATTGAAAAATCCAAAGATTTCAAATGAAATCAAACGATCCAAGTCCTCTTGACAATTTGCTAGATGGAGTCTTGAAGCCTGAATTCCTACACGTCAGCACCTGACAGGAGCTCTGAAGCAGTGCCCCCTTTAGACAGGGCATGGCTTCTCCAATTTACCAGTCCGCATGCTTTCAGTCTGCATCACATCCAGACCCCATCATGCATTTACCTGCCTGGCCCTTGTACGAGTAAGAGTTTGTAACCACTGCTGAACACTGAATATTCTCACGTTATCAATTTACCCAAAGTGGACTGCACGCATGAGTGATTTTCCCAGTAGCAGTGACTTCTGTGTCGAACATGCCTTATCCCAGTGGTCACAGGCAGAAGGTGGTCGATGGAGTTCAGAGTTAAAGTCTGTGGCAGGGAAGAGAGCAAAAATAAAGAGATTGAATTCATTAAACCTGTACTCTGTCTAACCAATCAAATGTGCCTGGACATGCTAAAATCCTAAACATCCGTGCATAGAATTTCTGGGCCTGATTCACTCAGGCCATCATGGTAATCATCTCTGACTGCTGCATCTCTGCCCAGAGCATCACATAAAATTCCATGAAGGAAGAAGAAAAAGGGCCTTAGAGGGGCTTTGTTCCATGTGAATGGCAGGGGGCAGGGAACCTATTCTGCTTTCTGCACATAGCCTATTTCTCTTTTCACTGAAGTTCATAATGCTAATTGTCGGTTCCATAGTTCTGTAGAAAGTGACATAGGTATATTAGCCGACACTCAAGGAAAGTAAAATGAAACTGAGGGTTTAGTATTTATTGAGGAGGGGGTTGTCTAAGCTCCTGTATGATTCTGTAGGTACTTAACATCACCTGGCTTGATGGACATGCCTTTTTAAATCCTGGCTAAGAGCGCTAAGGCCAACAGATAATACATAATCACGTGACATATCATTTTCCTCTGCAGGTTATTTTTGAAGTTGCTTTCAATGGTCCCAAAGGAGGGTATGTTGCCCTGGATGATATTTCTTTTTCTCCTGTTCACTGCCAAAATCACACAAGTAAGTATTTTCTTTTTCTTCTTTACATTTGGAATTTTCCTTTCTTAATAGATGCCTGTGGTCGGCATCTATTGCTCTAATTCCCTCTGATTTTCTCACCTTTCCCCTCGTCTCATCCTTCAGAAATTATTTAACTGAATAGTCTTTTTTTCAGGTATACTTTTTTTTTGGTGTCCCTGAGTGAACATAATTTTTCTGACACTGCAGGCCAATAGTCCTGTGTAAAGGAGCTTTTATCTTCCCTACGTGCTAGGAAAGGAAAATTCAACAATACTGACTCCTTCCCACCCCACCTTTCACTTTAAAGGATATCTGAGTCCATAGACAGGTGGATGGGTAGGTGAAAAAAATTGTCAAAATCTAAAAAAAAAAAAAAAAAACCTCATTGCCATCGAGTCGATCTGACTCATAGCAACCCCTCCGTGGATTTCTGAGGTGGTATCACTACGGAAGTAGATTGCCCAACCTTCCTTCTAAGGAGTGGCCAGTGGGTTTGAACCACCAACCTTCTGGTTAGCAGTCAAATGCCTTAGGCACTACACTACCAGAGCTCCCTTCAAAATCTACTCAATAGAATTATAAAAAAAAATTCTAATTTTATGCATCCAAGTTTTATCAATATCCTCATTTATTAAAGATTTTAGTATTTGATATGGTAGCATAGTGCCTACAGCATTTGACTGCTAACCAGAAGGCTGGTGGTTCAAACTCACCAGCCACTCCTCGAAAGGAAAACTGGGCAATCTACTTCTGTAAAAATACCACCTTGGAAACCCGAGGAGGGGTCGCTATGAGTTGGAACTGACTCAATGGCAGTGAGTTTGGTTTTGGTTTTATGATGGTTTGGGGTAAATATTATATGCTCTTAATTTAATTACTTTCTCTTTCAAAGTGAAACTTCAAGGTATATTATTTTGTTTATAATTTTCCTAAAATTGGTATTTGGAAAAGAGAGAAGGAATATTTATTTCTGGGAAAATTTGATCCAAAATGAACCAGAAAGCAAACATCTTAAAACAAGAAGGAAGACAATATATTAATGATAACACAGATAAATGTAATTGGCCTTACCTTTTAGTGAATTTGTTTCCTTGAGAGACCCCAGGGACACACTGGTTATCCCATCTTATTAATGAGTCCTTATTCAGGGTTTTGGAGCATGGGAAATAAAATTTTGAACTTGGCCCTTGTAGTTTGACTTTTACGTAAGACAGAATTGGTTTCTAACTTAATATTATTTCAGATATATTCTACAAACAAGGAGACTAAAAAAATATTTTCTGCTTGAACTAAACTGTCACTCTCCAATTAAAGAGAAGCCTACTAATTTGCTAGAACTAAATTTTTTTCCCACTAATTCTATTACAAAACGAAACAGTAGAACAGATAGAACCAGACTGAGTTTACATGTTTTCTAAAATGATTTAATACAAACAATAATCAAAGATTCTAAGAGCCTCTAAATTTGACAAAACACAAAATCCAAATTGTTTTACTTTTCTAAACTTGGCGTCTCCCTGATCCCATCAGTTAATATTTTAGTTATGTTAGTAGTGTTTTCACCTTTTATCGTTATTTGTAGAAGTTCCTCTTCTCTGTCACTAGGCAGTTACTCTGCACTTTTGTATTTCCAAGTTATACATATGAGGGAAGAGTTGTTTATTCAACATCTCACTATGGAGAATGGGTGAAGAGGCAGCTGGAAGGTCTTAGCCACCTTAGAAATCTTGTTTAGAAATGTTTTCCTTTTTGAAAAGCTACAGCATATAGCTGAGCTCTTTTCTACCACTGCACTGGTGGTTTGACTGGTGTGGTGGTTATGTTTGTATGTCAACTTGGCTGTGCCTTGTTGAGTGGCTGGGCAGCTGGTGGTAGTTATTCCCCATAATGAGACTGGCAATCAACTCCATGGTGGAATCTACCATAAGCAGCTGAGTAGCTACCTTCGGGATATGCTCTGCTTCCTGTATGTAAGGAGAAGCCTTGAGAATGGTCTCTAGCCTATGGCACACTTGGACCCTGCATGTAGCCGTGTCATTGCTTAGCAACCTGCTATGCTCTGCCGACCTTGGGACTTACAGTGGACTTAAGTTAATGGCCTGCCATGTGGATTGGTAACATCGGGACTGTGCCTTTTTCCTTGTCAACCTTGGGGCTTTTCAGGCTCAGCAGCCAGCAGCAGAAATGCCTCTAGCTCCATTGGGCCGGGAGCAGGAGGCAGAGCTGGACCCCAAGGTTGAGGGGCTTCCACCCAGCCCCTAGAGCCTGGTACTTTAAACTTGGATTTAAAGCCCCCAAATTGTAAGAATAAACCCCTGTTTGTTAAGGCCATCCCATTTGTGGTGTATTCCTGTCAGAGCAGCCTTAGGTAACCAGAACAACTGGTGAAAAGAAAGAGTCCAATAAAACAACGACTCTTTGTTAAGAGAGCTGGAGGCCCATCAGTCTGTAAAACCAGCCCACATAAAGACTCTCCCTCTGCACGGACCTCCAGAGATACCCTCTTTTATAAAGTTAACTGAAGGTCCATGTTTGGTCTTCAGAATTTCCCACCATACTAACATGGCTTTAAATACTGTTCTTCCCAAGTTTTATTGTGTGATCATAGCAATATGCTCAAGAGTCAGAATTTTGGAGTCATATCCCTTCTCAGCCACTTATAAGCTGTGTGACCATGACCTTATCCTTTAACCTGAGACTCCGTTTCCACTTTTATAGGATGAGGATAGCCAAACCAAACCAAACTCACTGCTATCGAGTTGCTTCTCACTCATAGCAACCCCCATTGGGTTTCTGAGGCAATAAATCTTTATGGAAGTAGATCACCTCATCTTCCTTCCATGGAACAGCTGGTGGGTTTGAACCACCAATCTTCTGGTGAGCAGTTAAATGCCTTAGGCACCATGTCACAAGAGTTCCTCAGGATGATAAAATGGAAAAATTTGTTTCAAAGAGTTGTTGGGAAGATTGATGAGTTAGTGTCTATGAAGACCATAGCCTAGAGTATGACACACAGAAAATGGTTCGTCATGATACTTAATATTATTTACTTAATTGTCAAGATATTTCCATTCATTGTGGAACACAGTGGGTGAAATTGACATAAGAGAGAATCAGCAAAGGGCACTGCCTTGATGAATGTGTCAGCTGGATGTCTTTCACTGAACAGCCAGGGGTCAGATCCCAAGCCTAAGGAGCTGGTGAGCCCTTGCGTTTTCATACTTCATCTTACATTTCACAAATAGCTTATGCCCTTCTGTTTCATAACAGGTATCAACATTTTTTCTTTATCTTGGTTAACTCCAGACTTGTTTCCTCTGCTTTTGCCAGCTGGATCCAATGTTTTCTTCCTTCATCTCCCTAGTAGGCTGAGATGGGAATTATTCTAGCATATGAACATCATTCCCACCATCTGGTTGGACTTAGTTTTAATCCAGGCTCCCAGACCTGAGACTTGTAGCCTAGTCACAGGTGTTAAACACCAGTGTCATGTCACTCATCAAGTATACCCCCAGGATGACTTCCAGAGAACAGCAAAACCCTCCTCTCTTGAGTTACAGCACTTCCCTGCACATGCCACCATTTCCACCCACAATCCCCACTCCCGAATTTGGGCTGGAATTTAGATCATAGGAATAAACTTTCCTTTCGGTCTGTAATTCCTTGAATTCTCATCACTTCAAGGTGATCCCATCCAGTTCTAGGGATCCTGCCTTAATGCTCAGTCCAAAACAGAGGTGTGACTGCTGTGCCTTTCACAGGCAGCTCAACATCCTCTCTGGGTGTGGGTCTATCCCACACCCAGGACAGTGGCTGGGATATATCCCTCAGATGTCTACCTGGGTCTGAATCCCAATGTTGATCATTAGTAGCTCAGATTAACAACACCCTGCCCAGATGTCTTGTCTAATTGGAACCTAATGCCAGTTGTTGACTGTGCTGCAGCTAAAGTTGCCACAACCTTCCTTAGCTCAAATGCCCCAAGGGTCTCCAAATCCTGGTCAATGGCCATGCCCCTGTTCCATCATGGTTTCAGAGTCCCACTCACCGTCTTAAGCCATTTGTGAGCTGTCTCAGCCTGTCTTTGGCCTGGCTCATGCTAACATAAAACTACCTTGCAAGTTAGCAGCCTAAAGAACACACTGCACCCAATATCTCTTCAGTACCAGAGGGACTGAAGAGACTTCTAGATCTTTATGACTAATGCTGAGTTCAGCTCCATTAACTCCATGGAGAAAGGATATGAGACACTCCCAACTGTTCTTTTCAAACTGCAACTCACTCTCCCTAATGAGATCATCTTCAAAGTCTCTCATTTCTAACACTCAAATGTCAAGAAGTGAGTAATTACTAAACATTATATTTTATGATGCTTTTTGGTACCTTGCTTAAAGATGTCTTGTTTCTTTCTCCCCTCCCCATAACTGATAACTGATGCTGATTCCTCCCTATGCCTCAAATAAGTCATTAGCTCTCTCACTAGCTCAATCTGTGATTTTCACTTGACTCACACCTCCAAGGAAGCCTCAAGCAAAGGCTTTCCATCCATCTCAGATCTCTGGTGAATTTCAGAGCTCATGGTGGGTCACAAACAGCCCTTTGGCCCAATCTTCAAGAATCAGATGCTCTCTTGAATTGGAATTTGGGTGAAAAGATTTAGACTTTGAGTTAAGCAAATGAGATTTTCTTTTTATCAGAACATTCCAGGACCCCAGGCAAATCTGTTCCTAGGACTAGCTATTTAACAAAAGCCAAGGGCTTCAAAATGATTTATTCTGGTTCAACCCCCTAATGCGAATTTGCATTTCCACCCCAGACCTGAATCAGAATACATTTTAACAAGACTCCCAAGTGGTTCTTATATATTTCCAGGTGATTCCTTTTCTTTCTTTCTTTCTTTTTTTTTTTTTTTTTAGTTAATTTGGGTGAAATTTTACACAGCAGATTTGTTTTACATTCAACAGTTTGTACACATTTTGTTTTGTGACACTGATTATATTCCCTGAAGTGCAACAGATCTTTTCCCACTTCCTCCCTGTGGTTACCTTGTCCCTGTGTCCCCAGGTGATTCTTACATATCTTGTTCAAATGTAGATTTTGATTCAATATATCTGGGATAGAAATGTAAATTCTCTGTGTGGAGTCAAACTGGAATGAAGTGGTTCAAAGCCCTGATAAAATCCTCTCATCAGAAAAATCTTAGCTATGTGAATCACCTTTGAAGAAAACTGATCTTTGCTTACTTTCAAGATTTAATACCCACCAGCCGCTCCTCGGAAGGAAGGTTGGTTAATCCTACTTCTGTAGTGATAACTGCCTCGGAAACCCAAGGAGGGGTCACTAGGAGTCGGGGGCCGACTCTATGGCAAATAACAACAACAACAACAACCTGTCCCCTCCTACACAGCTAATAAATGGGCTATGGTTCTCTTGCAGCTGATCCGTCCTGACAAATAATTCCACAGACCTCTTGCTTGGTCTGTGTGCATGGCTTTTGGTAATGCCATGCCATTCCCCGAGCTAGCCAGCCATTGGTAGACCTTGAATATTCATTGTTTTTGCATTGCCAGGTAACAGAGGGGTGACTAATACTGAAGATCAGCAAAAGGCTTCCCAGAGTCTCCAATCACCATGGGAGAATTTCAAAAGAGCATTGTTTGTGTGATATCAAATTAGTTTTTCAGGGACTGTATCTTCATGGCTTAAAGATACACACTGATGCCTACAGAATCAGGCAGAGCACTGTATAGGCTAATTTATAATCATGGCAGAACATGGAGAGTTCTCTTCATTTCCTTTTCTCCTCACTGGCTTATCAGGCTGTGCTCCTGTGTATCTCTTAGGGCATACTACTTAGTTACCTTTTTTTTTTGGTCTGTTTTTTGGGTTATTTCAAACTCAGGCAAAAAATGCAAGAATAGTGTAAAGAGCTCCTTTATATCCTTCACCTCACTCTGCAAATTGTTAACAGTTGCTTTATTAACCATTTTAGAGTAGACGGAAGACATCCTGCCCTTTTGCCCCTAAATACTTAGGTGTGTATTTCTTAAGAACAATGACATCCTCCAAAGAGAATTCTGATGTTCAGGAACTTTAACATTGATACAATATTCTCTAATTTACGTCCATACACCGAATTCATCAATTGCCCCAATAATGTCATTTATAGCAATTGGTTTCCTGGACCAAGCTTGAATCTTGGGTCCCTTGTTGCATTTGGTTGTCAGGCTTCTTTGGTTCCCTTTAATAGGAACCAGTTCCTCAACCCACTTGAATATTTTCTTGCTTTGAAAATTGGTAATGTGAAAATATAGTGATCTTTGTCCTTGAACATCTCCTCATTTCCTCACATCACCTCTTCCAGAACACAAATGTTTCTCTAGATGGGTATTTTTCCACTTACTTTAAACATCCCCGTTTCTCCCTGGCTGTAGAGTGTTAGACCCAGTGTGAGTTAATATACACAACAGGATCACCCCTGGCCACCTAACTGTGCCGCAAACTACTGCAGCCACCTTCCCTCTGGACTCAGAGGACAATCTCAACAGTGAGGTGTACAAGTCACTGGCTAATGGAACCAAAACTATTCTCAAAAGAGCAGACTTCTGTGTCCTACTTGTTCTAGCCAATCTGGGCTGAGATGATATTTATAGACCAGGATAAACCCTACCAAAACTTAGCAAGGCCAAAACAATAGCAGCCCAGGGATTGGTATGACTTTATGAACTGTATGATTTCAACTGCGTAATGACTTTCTTCAACCAGATCAGCTCCTACTACTCATTTATAAGTAGACACATAAATTATGTCAATCATGTCAATTATAAGTAGACAATGACTGTGCTTCTGACCCTGAGTTTGATCAACAAACGAAATTTTTTTTCTGGAAAATATTATTTTATAAATATTTGTCTCAGAGGGAAATGAAGAATTCCTTAAAATCCTGATTTTTTTTTTCTTTCTCTTCTATTTTGATGAGAAAAATCATTCAATATGAATGATTTTTGAATTGTGAAGAAGTATGTGAACCAATGTTGGCAGCTGGTACATCCTGAAAGGAAATTTCTTTTGAACTCTGGTACTTTTTTATTTTGATAAAAATAAGAGAGGAAAAGAACAATTTTCTTGTCATGCTGAAACACCAGTGTTTGATGCTAACCTGTCAGTATGCCATTCACGTAAAAATATTTTGCTGTGTTCTTCTCTGGTCACCCTGGGCACCAATATTTGTCAACCTGTTGATGTAGTTCTTTGAAGTCCTGGAGTTTGGTACTCTTTACATCTAGTTTTCCTTTCCCTAGAGCTTCCCTTCAGTGCTGTGGAAGTGAGCTGCCATTTTGAGGAAGATCTCTGCAACTTTTACCAAGATAAAGAAGGCCCAGGCTGGAGTCGCGTGAAAGTAAAACCAAATATGTATCGGATAGGAGACCACACCACAGGATTAGGTAATTCAAGAGTCTGTCATGGGATGACGTTGTGGGGTTAGGGTTCATGCTCCATTTGTTATTCTTACTCCATACCTGTCGAGACCCTGACTTAAGAAAAGAAAAAAAGGCAGCTGTAAAAAAACAAACACAGTTGATAATCTTGTGTTTGATCATTTTTTAAAGTTAGAATTCCAATTGTTGTGCTGGCTTAAAAGTACTTACTAGTTAAATAGCCAAAGCTTTGAAAATTATTTCGCTCTTCATTTTAGGTGGAGAAATATCTTTAAAATGCTATTTGTAAATTTTTATAGAATCCAGACTTTCTGGAGCCATTGAGATTGCATGACCCTGTGAGACTATTACCTTGAGGAAATCTTTAAACCTTGAACTGTAACTCTCCCCAAAAGTCATCTTTGAACCAAAAAATAGTTTAGCCTAATTAGAAAAGAATGTCTACATGAAGCATTATACTTTTAAAGAATTTGCTATGTTGTTGTTATGTGCTGTCAAGTCAGACCTGACCCCTCCTTGGGTTTCCGAGGCAGTATCACTAAGGAAGTAGATTTGCCCCATCTTCCTTCTGAGGAGTGGCTGGTGGGTTTGAACCACCAGCCTTCTGATTAGCAGTCAAGTGCCTTAGGCGCTATGCTACCAGAGCTCCCATTTAAAGAATTAGCTATTTGTTGTTGTTGTTGTTAAGTGACGTTGAGTCGTTTCCGACTCATAGCGACCCCATGCACAGCAGAACGAAACACTGCCCGATCCCGCGCCAGCCCCACAATCCCTGCTATACTCGAGCCCATCATCACAGCCACTGTATCAATCCATCTCCCTGAAGGCCTCCCCCTCTTTCGTCGACCCTCCACCCTACCAAGCAAGACATCCTTCTCCAGGGAATGGTCCCTTCTTACAACATGACCAAAATAAGTGAGACGAAGTCTGGCCATTCCTGCTTCCAAGGAGCATTCTGGCTGCACTTCCTCCAGGACAGATCTGTTAGTTCTTTTAGCAGTCCACAGTACTTTCAGCATTCTTCGCCAGCACCACAACTCAAAAGCATCAACTCTTCTTCAGTCCTCCCTATTCATTGTCCAGCTCTCACATGCATACGAGGCAATTGGAAATATCATGGCTTGTGTCAGGCGCACCTTAGTCCTCAAGGAGATATCCTTGCTCCTCAGCACTTGAAACAGTTCCTTCGCAGTTGACTTTCCCAATGCTACACGTCGTCTAATGTCCTGACTGCTGCTTCCGTTGGCATCGATTGTAGAACCAAGCAACGTGAATTCCTTGACAACCTCAATCTTCTCTCCATTTATTGTGATGCTACTCATTGGTCCAGTTGTGAGGATTTTTGTTTTCATTATGTTGAGATGTAATCCATACTGCAGACTGTATTCTTCAACCTTCATCAGTAGGTGCCTTAAGTCATCCTCACTTTCAGCAAGCAAAGTTGTGTCATCTGCATATCTCAGGTTGTTAATGATTCTTCCTCCAATCCTGATACCACGTTTTTCTTCATATAGTCCAGCTTCTTGGATTATTTGCTCAGCATATAGATTGAATAAGTGTGGAGAAAGAATACAACCCTGACGCACTCCCTTCTTGATTTTAAACCATGTAGTGTCCCCTTGTTCTGTTTGAACGACAGCCTCCTGGTCAAGGTACAGATTCCTCATGAGTACAATCAAGTGCTCGGAAATTCCCATTCTTCTCAATGTCGTCCATAATTTGTCATGATCCACACAATCAAATGCCTTTGCATAGTCAATAAAACTCAAGTAAACATCTTTCTGGTATTCTTTGCCTTGAGCCAAGATCTATCTGACAACAGCTATGATATCCCTTGTTCCACGTCCTCTTCTGAATCCGGCTTGAACCTCTGGAAGTTCTCTATCAATATACTGCTGCAAACGTTTCTGAATTATCTTCAGTAATATCTTACTTGCATGTGATATTAATGATATTGTTCTATAATTTCTACCTTCTGTGGGATCACCTTTCTTTGGAATGGGCACAAATATGGATCTCTTCCAGTCAGCTGGCCAGGTAGCTGTCCTCCAAATCTCTTGGCATAACTGAGTGAGTGCCTCCAATAGGTGACCAAATTGACAATAGCAATTTGAAAGGATAGATAAGAAGCTAAGGAGGACAGTGAGTTTTGTTAATGATGGTGAAATCATTTGGAAAAGTTTGTCAGGGTTGTGGAAAAACTTGATGAATGTAACAAAGTCCCTAGATTAATTGTACATGTAGAAATTATTAAAGTGGTGTATGCTTTGCTGTGCATATTTTCACCAAAATAAATAATGATAAGTAAAGGGGCTAATTAAAAGAATAAAAAGTTATTTGACTCCATTTATGTAAGATAGATCCAGAATAGGCAAATCTATAGGAACAGAAAGACTAGTGGTTGCCAGAGGCTGGGGGAGGGGAGAATGGGGACTGACCACTAAATAGTACAAGGTTTCTCTTTGGAAAGATGAAGATGTTCTGGGACTAGATGGTGGTTGCTCAACATTGTGAATGCCACTAAATGCCACTGAATTGTACATTTTAAGATGGTTGAAGTAGCAAATTTTATGTTATGTGTATTTTACCATAACTTCAAAATACATATAACCATGAGGAGCTCTTAGAAGCCAGAATTGGTGCTCCCCTTGTATAAAGATTGCCTAACATTTTAATGACATCTTTTGTGGTGCCTACCCCAGTGGCAGATGATGGAAAGAACTTATTCTAAAGGAGTTTAGTGTCTTATTCATTTATTCAACAAATGTTTATATATGTCAGGCAGCAGGGTGGATTTCCTGTGAAGCTGATGAAGCTTAAGTTTCAGAGCCCTTACTAGCATGGGCCCTGGGAAAAGATTTAGAAGGGGCCCTGTCAATATTGTACTTGTAATTTTGTACTATTTCCTTAAAGAAGTTGCCTACCTTGTATACATTCAGGCCCTACAAAGCCTAATCTGACCTTGGCCAGACTAACTCATGGGAGATATAATAGTGAACTAAAGAGACATGGATTCTGTCCTGGCTGACAATTCTATCAATGGGCAAGAGAAATATTAAGTATATATGAGAATAAATTTATAGATACAAGGTGTGATAAGTGCTATGAAAGAACAAAGAGTGAGCTCTTAGAATAAAGGGAAGTACCTAATTTTGGTAGGGGTTTCTCTGAGGGAAAGTGGGAGTTGTCCAGGAGACTGGAAGCAATCCCACAGATGCCGAGGGAACTGCATCTGTGAATGCCAAGTTGAGTTGGGAAAGCTGGGCATCTCCAAAGAATAGGAAGGTCAGTGTGGCTGGACCATGAGGAGGAAGGATGGCAAGAGTGGAGGAAAGTAAAATTAGAGAGAGAGATGGAACATGAGGATGTGGCAGAACCAATTAAGCATTTAGGATTTTATTATAAAAGTAAAAGAAATGAGAAGCCACTGAAGGGTTTCAGCAGAGAAGATTTAGAATAAATTTAAGTTTTTTTTTTTTTTAAATTTTATTTTGATTTGGGTGAAGATTTACAGAG